TAACTAATAAATCAACTGTTATAATAATTTCATTAAAATAAAATTATATCGATATTATTAAATTATTAAATTATTATACCATTTATTATATTATTAATAAACGAAATAAATAAGAATAAAAACTGATAATATTAAATAACATTTCAGGTGCACTTTTCTTTCTTTATAAATAACACAATATGACAAAAATCGATTTTTTTTCCTCCTATAAAAAATTCAAAGAGATTCTGAAAGCAGATGTTAGAAAAGTATACCCATGTCTCAATATTGACTTATTTCGACATTGTTGCGACATAAACAAAGCGATGCATCGAAAATTTTCTGAACAATAAAAAAAAATTACAAAAAATTGTTGCTGAAATGATTTCGGCTTTTCATGCAATGGAAGTTAACATGTCGCTTAAAAGACATTTTCTTCACAATCATTTGGTTTTTTTCCACCAAATTTAGGTGAATTCAGTGAACATGGTGAACGCTTTCACCAAGATATTGCGGTCATTGAGAAACGCTTCAAGGGAAAAGACATCAGACACATGCTTGGTGAATACTGTTAGTTTATTATTCGTGATACGAAACCGGAATCACACAAATGGCAAATTAAACGATCAACATTTTTATAATAATTAGAATTATAATTGTATTATTACTATTATTATACAAAAATTTGAAAATATGTGAAAAAAAATAATTCTCAATTGTTTTTTTTTTTTTATTCGGACTTATCGCATAATTTTACATGCAAAAACGTCAGTTATATTTCTTTTAAAAAATTATTATATAATTTAAAACAATCGTAAAAAGCCAGTATAAAGTAAATACGATAAATGGTAGCATATAAAACGTTAACGACTTGATCTGATATAAAACGTCGAGGTACGGGTATTTTTTTTTACATCTACTTTCAAAATCTCTTTGATTTTTTTACAAGAGGAAATGTGTGTTGTACTGTGTAATATAATAGTTCTCCTTTTTATATATATATTTGGGGAAGAGAAATACTCACTTGTAATCATATTTTGGACATAATGTTCGAATGTTCGCACGGAAGCGCCGTTTGGATAATTCGATAATATTTCCGGTAATGCCGTCTGCAATGAGAGGCTTCATTAAAAATAATTTTGATTTATTATACGTAAAAATATAGAAACTTTATTTTGTAATTTTTATAGTTTTTAAAAAAAGCAGTGTTACAAATTTGCAAAATCTAAATTGGAAATGTACCTACAGTGTTAAATTGCGCTGGATCAGATCCAGCGATTAGAAATATTATTGCAACGCAGACAGTCTGAGTGATTGCCTTATCTGTACACAATGTTCTTCCTAACGTGATACTTGTTGATGATAATGAGGCCACTTCATATATTTCATTAGAATAAAGAAATTTCTAAACAAAAATGAAATACGTAAATATTGAATTGTGATGGAAACTATATAATATAATATAAAAAATAAACGTAATATTATAATAATTATATATTAATTTCTACAAAATGTAGAATGATAAAATAATATTTTAATGAAAGTCAACACATATATAAAATGCACAAACTATGTAGTTGAGATCAGAGATGAAAGTAACGGAATAAATGTAACTTTGGAAGTATAACTAAAACAAATAAACGAAATGAAACATGTTGACTTATGTAGTTGATTTCACTCTAGTGAACTTCAGTTATTCGCGAAACGTTAGATTGAACGGTTATTTGTATGTATAGTGCGTTTGTGGTGAAGAATCACATTAAATAATCTCTATTATTTATGAATCATTTAATAATCTTTATTATTTTTAATCTCTATTATTTTTAATCTCTATTATTTTTATAAATATTTTTAATTTTATTCACCTTTTGTTCACCTTTTAATTGTTTATTATTATTTTTCTTTTTTATCATTTATATATTGACATTAAAAAATTTATTTATGTTTAGTTTTTTTTTATATATGATACATTCCTAAATAAATCTGAAGAAATTCTAAGAACACTTTAAAAATAATACTTCAGTATTATTAAAAAAAGGATAAAAAGCAAGAAAATAATTCAGTATATGGAATATCAGCAATGTGAGTGTTAAAAAAGGATTTTGCTTCGTTTATCTTACTTGTTAAAAAAATCAATTTCTTTTCTTTTTGTGTTTCAAAAATCTAGTGAAATTAAAATATGTTTGTAAGTTTTAAGTGTTAATTCAAATAGCACGCCTTCACACTCGTTTGCTTCTCTACTCTCTTGTCTTGTTTAAATAAATGATCACTTATTATAGTTAGAAATTTAATTTAATTTATATAATAGATTATTATTTAGAATATCTCTCTCACATATATACAGAGATTTTTAAATTGTTTGAATTTTATAAAAAATACCAAACATATAGAAGAAATTTAGAGATAAAATACATAATATTATAAAGAAAACATTTTAATTAATTATTTATTTGATATCCTGTACATAATTTTATTAAAAAATAATAAATTAAATGCCAATTTGAGCCAACACTGGTTATTAGTGTGTATTTTTATATTCAATTTGTATATTTATATACATTTATTCAAAGTGAATATTAAATATATACGTTTCGATCTACGGTCAAGGTCCTTTTCAGTACAAAAAAAATATATTAACAAAATTACATAATGATAGCGCATACGAGTATGAACTAATAACTTATAAAATGCGATAAAAACCGTGGTGATGATGCCCGAGTTAATCTTGATCATTAAATTATTAAGTAATAAAAAATTATTCTATATAATAAAATATATTATTATATGTATAATAAAAAATTTTTCTGTATACCATTTATTCTTAATATTTCCAAAAAAATCAGTATGCTCTTAAAAATTGTACCATTTTTACGTATGGCTTATAGAGACATAAATAAACTCAATAGATTTATCAAAGTTCAGAAAGATGTGCTACTTCAATCCAATCTTCTCAATCCAATGTAGTATATAAGATTGACTGTAAAGATTGTGATGCGTCGTATGTTGGACAGACAAGCAGATGCCTAAAAACACGCATAAATGAACATAGGAATCATATTAATAGAAACACAATCCAACATTCGGTTATCAACATCGGTTAGACTTATTTCATGAATTTGATTAGGATAACGTATATACATATTTTAGACAAAGAGCAAATTCTACATAAAAGATTGTTAACAGAGACGATACATATTAAAAAACAAAAACAAGACCTGAATTTACAAAACGATACACTTTTTCTTGAGCCATTATATAGATTTTTTTTCAGAGACGTAATGCTTCCACTCTATATCGTTTATACTTGATTATTTATTATTTATATTTTTATTTATTGCCTTTGTACATATTCTGTTGTCCACTGTTTCTCTCAATTTTTATTTTACATCTGTCTACCAAACAGTTATGTCGTGTCTAATATCTTTAAATTTTGTTTCATGTAAGTGAACTAAAGTTGGATTTTTACTGTTATTTATATTAATTTTTAATTTATTCACATTTATATTACACAGTAAATGGAACAATTTAATGGAACATGTACAACAAACCTTATAGAAACAATTCAATCTTGATAGTCGTGTAAGGTTTTCTTTTTTTTTTATACCATTTTTTGCGTATAATCTCATGTTAGCATTTTTAAAATTATTTTTAAACTTTTGGTCGGTTGTTTTAAAACAACCAAAAATCTTTTTCTTTTTAGTTAACTTAGTAATTTAATGACCAAGATTAACTCGGACATCACCACCACGGGTTTTCTCGCATTTTATAAATTATTGGTTTATACTTGTATGCGCTATCATTACGTAATTTTGTTAATATATTTTTTTTTGTACTGAAGAGGATCTTGACCGTAGGTCGAAACGTATATGTTTAATATTCACTTTGAATAAATGTATGAAAATATACAAATTGAATATAAAAATATAGACTAATAACCAGTGTTGGCTCAATTTGGCATTTGATTTATTATTTTTTAGAATTTTCTTTAAAGCCTATTGATTTTATTGTTTATAATTTATTAATCATCACTTTATAAATAATATATTAAATAAAATAAAGTTGCGATAAAAAGTTGTTCTTCTATTAAGATTATTAGGATAATAAGAAAGATAATGTTAATACAAAAATATATATAAAATATAATTTTCTTTTTATTAAAATACGATTGATGTCTGAATCTTACCATAATCTTTGGTATTTTATTAAAAATATTTTCCGGTAAAGGAATTCTTTCTTTCCAAATAGCAATCGGAGCAAGGCAGATTCCCAATTTTATTTTTGCATTGTATTCGGGTTTCATAGATAGTAAAATGAATAACGTGGTAGTTCCCATCGAGTGACCGATGTAGTGTAGAGTTTGTTGTTTTGTGTAACTAAGTACGTAATCAATCATAGCTGGCAGGTCTCTCGTTCCCATCTCGTGATAACTGGACAATAAAAAGTTAATTCTATTTTGTTTTTTATTATTTTTTTAATGCTGCAAAACCATTGAATATTCCTTATGAACTTTTTAACTCAATCAGGATCGATTTTTTTTTTTAACGAGAATGTCGAAATATACAGTGTGTCATAAAATTATGGTGGCTATTATTTTTAAAGAATCAGTTAGACATTAAACAAATTTAAATATTTTTTAAAATAATTAACCATAGTTTTTTTTAATTGTACATTTTTTGTTTGTTTATGTAAACAATATTTAATTTGCCTTTGAATAATGTTCTGGTTTCATTTTTTAACTTGTTTTTTAAATTATAGCATTTTAAACCCCACAATTATTTTATTTACACTGTATAAATACACTTGTGCACAGTATTACAAATTTTCATATATTTTATTAATGAAAAATTGATTTTTTTTTTAATTTAACGTTCTAGATAAAATATGTTAAATTAAATAAAATTTAAGAAATATAAAAGAAAAAAAATATATGTAAATGATTAAAATTATTAAAATATCGAAAAGAAAGTAAAAATATTTCTTTAGATAACACTTGTAAAATTTTACCTAAATTGCCAAAATTCCTTATTTTTTGGAGATATTTTTATATGTGATCTGCAATAAGAAGTTCCTCTGAAATTTCCAAGCCATACGTCGTATCCATTATCAACCAATAAGAACGCTACAATATAAAAATTTAAATTAGTTTTCTTATTATATTATCGCGTTAACTATTAATAGTCATTATATCAGATAAAAATTCCTTCCCTCCTTATCATATATTTATCCTGATAATGTTCTATTTGAAATTTTTAAAGTGTATTATGTTTTTTTTTTCAAATATATAAGATATTTTGTTGTTTAAAACATTTCGTTGTTTTAACAAAAAACTTTAAATTATTAAAAAATTTTTAATTTGATTAAAAAAGTAAACTAAAAGATTGATTTAATAAGATCATCTTTTATCAATTTAATATAATAAATATATTTTTAAATCGTTTGATGTTATATAAATTGATAAATTTTATATTTGGAGAAACAATTTTATTAAATCGATGATGCTGTTTTAAGACAAGATAACAAAACTGAAATAACAAAGTCAAAAAATAACAAAGTTTATTATTTATTAATTTTCTGAATTTAAAACAAATTTTATAAGATAATTTATAAATTAACAAGATTCCTATAATAAAGTTAATCTATTTACTTGCTTAAATTTGTTAACTTTTTTTGTTAATTAAGCTTTTTGTTTCTTGAAACTTTATTATTTTTTATTATTTTGTCTCTGTAAGATAATCTCTTGATCTATATTTCGCATAATAAATATTTGTCAAGACTTTCACTTGAGTTGTTTTATTGTCCTCCTTATAAGTTCTCAAAGACAAGTAATGTCAAGGTAAACATGTTGAGTGTCTTCAATTTTAGCGTAAACTGGATAAGCAAACCTATACGCGCGCATGTATATGTGAGTGTACATGCAATTAACACATACTTATCGTGTTTAGAGTAATGGCTTTAGATATCGAAAATTTCACGGTTACATTAAGCATTTCGTGTTTACATTAGCAATATTTGTTCTTCTTTTAATTACTACATTTATCTATATAAAGTATATATTTAATTATTTCACTTTTTGATAAATTAAGGCTCACGAAGCATTAGAAGTCAGCGCTAATACTTGCGCAAATATAATCAATGAGAAAAATATTTATATATAAATAAAAATATAATTTAATAATTTCTGGACATTTCGGCTTTGTTTTGAGCAAATACATATATAAATAATCGACATTAAACAATTATATCGTGGTTTAATAAATCACAAAATACATCTCATGCTTTTTCCAAATGCCCATTGCATGGATCAAATAGTGACACGCGAACATCCTCAACATTAATCAATGTTGTGACACTGCAGTTTCATAGCTGTGGTGGTGGATTGACCATCTCAATGCTAAATCAAAAGAAGTGTTTTTCTTATATTAGAAACCGGATGGAATTTGTGATGTTACAAAAATTTTTTGCTCACCTCATAGACCAAGCAATCCGCATTTTACAATAGTTCGTCAATTAATAATACGAAGAATATAAAGAACAAAATGAATATTGCACCATTAGGCATTAAGTTTAAAAATTGATCGACAAAAAGCGCTGACTCTTAATGCCTCGTGAATCTTAATTTATAACTAAAAGAGTCCCTAAAATAGTTATTTCTTAAAATAATTATTTTTATTATTTATTGTTATTCATTTTTTGATATATTGACAGAAACAGAATTGTTTAAATCGTGCCGTGAAAGATTTCACACAAATTTAAAATGAATATTGGAAGTGAAATGTGAGGAATTCCGCTTGAAGTTATATTACTGATTTTTTTTTTGCTGATTTGCTTGAAGTTATATTGCTATTATGACAAAATTATTCGGAATTTGCTTAACATATCAGGTAATAATAACCAACACATATATGTATCACTCACCAAGGTCTTTCTCAGCACCGATCATTACCCAACAGTCAGATGAACATATAACACCATGTTGAAGAAACACAATTTCTTTTCTTTGGTAATCTTTAGACAGTGGACTTTTTAATATCCTATGTATTACCAAAATATAACCATCTTCCGTTATGACGTAATGTTCTTCGGTAGGGTAACCATATTTCTCTACCAATCCGGCCTGCATAAATATATCCCAGAGCGAAATAAAGGCAAAATTGTCGTTAATTTAAAACAATCGTTATGCAAGGGTTAATGCAGTAAAATATTTCTTAAAAAAAAAAAGATTTCTTTTATCTAAGTAATTAATCTTCTCTCTTAATGTATATATAATTGCACTATTATTTTTTGTAGTACATACGCATTAAGAGACAATTTCATACTTACAAAATCCAATGTAGTTACATTGTTCGTTGTTTGAATTTGTTCTGGCTTCCTTACTCTTATTATACCGGGATCTTTAGGAAACAGATAGTTAAATATTGCTTTCTGAGGAAATGCTAAGTTTTCCCACAGATTTAGTTTTGCTTCCAGTAACACTGCAGTAAGCATAAATATAATGAAAACAAGTTTTATGTCCATTCTCATTAAAGTGTCGATACCTGAAAATGTAAACTACAACTTGCAAGTGCCGACTATTATATTAGATATAAGTTTTATCCGGTTTTATGGCATCTGTCATTATGTGCAGTTCAGAAAACCTACAAATATAATTAGTATTAGTTTATTTATTAATTATTTAGCGTTAATTTTTCCTTAACATGAAGAATTTTATGAAATCAATTTAATTTTCAATTTTTTCATCTAGTAATTAATTATAATTTTGTTAGAGTTTGTAAAATTTGTTTAAAAAAAATTAATTTATTTAAATTTTAAGTTTAAACGTTTAGAAAATTTGTTTTAATAAATTACGTTAATAAAAACTTCAAGTAATATCCGAATATATTCTAATATTAAATCTTTTATTCCTATTTTTTTATAAATTCAGTAAAGAATTAATCATGAACGTTTTTGCAAGTATATATACATATACTAAATATATACAATATGTATATATATAAATATAAAATGTAAATTTAATTTATTATTAAACAAGTCACATATAAAGGATTATTTTAAACAATCTATTTAATAAAAAATTTTCATAATGAACTGGATTCCTAATCTGTATTTCGTAATCGTTGTTCAATTATGCGTGATATCGAAATTTTAATACTTTAAAACTGGAATTTGCGTGAATGTAAATGGCTCGAATATTGGGTAGAGAGGGCAAAAAATTGGAAGGTGAAGAATGGCCACTCAGATTCTGTACGTGAAAATTGCTACTACTAGACTGCAAATAACCGTCGTATGATATATAATTATGCATGGTTTCTAGATCGTTCATTTACTTTAAGACTGGTGATTAAAGTTGACAAATATAATTTGAATTAGAATGTAATCTCAATCTAATTTTTTTTAATAAAGCAAGCAAAAAAATTCTTTAAATTTATCACGATTTAAGTGAGTATTCTAATCTAAGACTAAAAAAAATTTGTGAGATATTTTTAAGTTGTACTATATATATTTTTAGGTTTAAAGTAGTCTCATCTACGATGAGATGTTAAGTCTTTGGGCTTTAAACTGTAAGAAATTGCACAATCAGAGTCGAATATGAAGGAAATAATCAGTTATGATTGATTAATTTCTTAAAGCTTTACGTTTTAAAATTTTGTTGTAAACGCCGCTTAATACTCTACAAATGCGCTTAAAAGCAATTATTTATTATCAAGCGTAAATTGAAAAAAAGTAAAAAATGTGAGTATTTATGTCTGAGAGCGCGTATTAACTTTTTTATTTTTCTGAGTTTATAACATTTACGAAACACATAATAAAAATTAAATGTAAAGGCAATAATTTATCTATTTTTGTCCTATTATTTTCGTAGACTTTGTCTTTATAGATTTTATAGTACATACATGCTTTCTAAGGTCTATGAATTTCCAGATAGTAACTTCTCTCAATTTATATTAAATTTCAAATTTTGTAGTTGTTGTCAACATTATAAATATTGTTAATAACCTAATTGATTTATATCACATTTTTGAAAATGTAATTTTTAGAAATGAGAATTTCCTTATATGTTTTGTTACTTACGTAATTGTCATTTATATTAATGTACTCACCAGTATATTTAATAGAAATAGCTTAAATTAAGTCGAGTCGAAAGTTAGAAAGGTGGCAGCAATAAATTATTTCATCTTTAAACGCGAATTAATTTTACTAACGTCTAAAAACGTTAACTGTCACATGCGACGGATAAATCGAAACTGTGAGTAACAAATGTACTGCGCTTACATAAATAGAAACGTTGCGGTCTTACAACGATATCGGTGACTTCTCAAGGCCGCGTGTAATTTCGCGATACTGCACAAACTGGCATTCAAATCGCCTTTTATCGAGTTTAAGGTTCGACAAGTTTAAATATTTTAAATTATTAAATAATTTGCTGGAATCGACGTTAAAAATTAATTTTATAATTAGTTGTCGTATGTCGTATATATATTTATTATTTAATTTCATTTTACAATGCAAATCATTCGTTTGCCCCAAAACAACGACACCATTTTGCAGATAGTTGCAGCGATTGGGTTCGTTAGAAAATAACATGCAAATTCTTAGAAGTTGTTGCAATCAAAGTCTGTAAAATGAATGAGGTAAAATGATAAAAGATATTGTCAGCCGTAAAAATCACAAAAAATCTTAGAAAATATTTCTAAAAAACACAATTAGATTTACCAGTCTTACTTTTTTTAAGAATACATGATGTATTCTTTATGAGATCGTAAAACTTCTAGTTATTAATTAAAATTTTATATTTATAAAACTATATTAATAAGAATTGTTAATAAAAAAGTTATGTTCTAGAAATCTTATTTCATTGAATACTTACATTTAATTTATAAAAAAGGTATATTTTCCCTTTCCTTCTTTCCACTTCTAGATTATATTTTTTTAAAAAGTATACTTATATACTCTTTTGTTGTGATTCAGATATGATAACTTTAAACGCGCAATAAAATCTGTAAAAGCGATTTGGTAAATAGCAAAATAGATGATGGTAAAAATAAAGTCTATTTAGTAAATAATTAGCTTATGCTAATTAAATAAACTTATAGTAAGTGATTGAGTTATGAAAAATTATGCTATTGCTTATGTGTAAATGCTGCGGCGCTAATGCTATTTTGCTAAGGATTCAGTTAATTGTATTGAACATAAACTGCTAACTATTTAAAATATTTCATAATTTTGTTAATTGTGTAAGTAATGAAGTTGAGAAAAGAACGGGAAAAAAATGACATCCGCAATGAATGAGGGAACAAATTGAAAAGTGATCGAAAGACGTATAAGTCCTACATAAATCTATTTTGAAAAAAGTTATAGTTCGATAATGATTGCCCATGATTGGTCACTATCATCCAGATTAGAATGCATTTCCTTAAACCAATCTAGATATACTCCCAAATAAAACACAGAGTCATAATTAATGACGTTTAATTCTGTTCGATGGGTTTGCAATCATATGACATCTACTCTGATTAGAGTTATTTAACAATTTTTTTGCCCTCCAATCTGAGTTGAATTAATGACGTTTCGTGCTCTTCTATGGTAGAGCGTGTAATATCAACCAATAGCAAAGCTTTTCCAATCTAGGTTGGTGCAAATCTGGTCGGGCCGAAAACGTTATAAGTCGTAACATAATATAAGTCATCGTGGTGTTATTTGTCACTTAAAAGTAAATTTATACATCATAAAAATATCATCATAATGTTATATATAAGTTTACTTTTTTATGATGTATTATGATTTTCATGTTCTACTTCAGCTATTCTCTGACTCTTTAAGGCGAGGCGAGTATTTCTGTCTAGATTTGCAAGTGTTGGTGGGTAATATTAAAAAGAGGAGCAATCAGATATACATACGTGCTATTATCCGATATGGAAACAAAGTTGGAGCGAAAAAAGACCGAATTAAAAGTATACACAATCACTCTCATGAGAAGCTGGACCTGTCCTTCGGAGCTATTAACTAGGTGTATTTAGGAAGAACGCTCTAAGTGATCGATGAGGTCGCATCTTCAACGTTTACAACACTTTTTTCTGTAAATCGCTGATTTATCGTCTTAAAATTCAAAATAATTTTAAAACCTGACATGATAAGGTTTAACGACATTATTTTTTGTGATAAAAAAATCTATATAAAACTACTCTGATTAGAGTTATTTAATAATTTTTTTGGCCTGGCCCCTAATTAATCAGCAGTAGAAATTGAAACAAAAAAGTGTTTATTTATTATAATGAATTTATAAAATTTAACAAAACAAAATAAATTATAAATATTGATTGTACATCAATATTTGAAAATATTTACAAATGTTCATATTACAATTAAAGATATCAGAGTTCGGTCTTATATTTATTAAATAAATTTATTTAAAATATATATTTTAAATTAAAAAAAAATAAAACGTTATTTAATATTTATTATTTTAAATAACTTCTTCTGACTTATTTCTTACTTAATATTTTAAATAAGTTCTTGGAACTTATTATATTTTTTATTTTAAATAAGTTGTATCAGTTTTTTATCGATTTTGTATTTTAATTTTCTGGAACCTATTTTATATTTTTTATTTTAAATAAATTATATTAGTGTTGTTGCGCCAAATTGATGGATCACAGGAAGAAGAATAAGACACTCGAAAACTGTTCGGTGAATACGCACGCCCTTTATTCGGCAACGCAATCCGCTGACTCTCACTGCAAACTATAACCTCGCCTAGTCTCGCTTTGTTCGCGTATCGCGGCGCACGGCACAATGAGCGCGAACGGGGGGAAACAAAGACTAGAGCTAACGGCCGAACAC